CTGCTGAGCCTGCTGCAGGCACTCCGAGTGAATCCCACTTCCTGCCTTCAAACGTTGCTGAAAAACGGGCTGCCCTCCTCTCCCTTCTCTCCAGGTAGCAGCTCCGGTCTCATTCCGGGTCCCAGCTGCTCTCGCCTCGCTTCTGTTGCTGGGTCTGTTTCATTTCGGATGTGAGGCGGTTCAGAGAGGCATGCTGAGAAGAGGTGGGTGGGAACAGTTGGAGCCAGGCTTCCTATCGGACTGGGGGTTTGCTTGTTGGGGGAGGGGGGTGGCTCTTCCCCCCTCCCCACCACAAAATGGCTAGCTAAAGAGCCTAGCGCCGTGCTGCATATGTATCTCGGGACAAAAACCATTGGTAGAGATTTATCAGCACAAAAGATTTTTGAATCGGCAACACTGGAGCTGGAGCCTGGACCTCTGACCCTGAGGCTGTGAGATTTCAGGCAGGCCAACATGGGAAACAGACTTGGCTGCCTTTTTGAGGAGGGAGGTGCCCCAGGAACTGTCTTGGGTTCCAAATACCTGGAGTAGTGGCTGATGGATGGACCTGGGCATAGGGAGGGGCTGGGGCACAGCGGAGGAGCCTCGGCTTGGCATTCAGAAGGTCCCAGGTTCAATCCCCAGCATCTCCAGTTAAAAGGACCAGGCAGGAGGTGTTGGGAAAGAGCTCAGCCCGAGACCTTAGAGAGCCACTGCCCATCTGAGTAGACAAGACTGACCATGCAGGACCGAGGTTCTGATTCAGTATAAGACAGCTTCACGTGTTCATCTGTGGCCTTGGAAGCAGGGCAACATCCCAGCTGTCATAGCACATTTAGCATGGCCTGTTTCTCTAAGCAGAATGTGAGGGTGCCCTGTAATTCTTGGTGTTGCTAGCAGAGTGCACAGGTGAGGCAGTGGTTTTCAGGGGAAACCGAGGCAGCTTTGATGGCCATTTGGCAACTAGATGGCCATCTGACAGCAATGCTGATTTTGTGAACTTGGGCAGATTATGAGAGAGAGGGCAAGAAGGGTTGCCTCAGTGCTTAGTTTTTGTGGCCCTTTCTTACATGCCCAGGGAAATGTTGATTGCCACATTGGGGTCAGGAAGCAATTTTTCTCCAGGCCAGTTTGGCCAGGGGTCCTGGAGGGTTTTTTTTGTCATCTTCTGGGTGTAGAACAGCGGTCACTGCAGGTGTGTGAGAGGGAGGTATTTGTGAATTTCCTTCCTTGTGCAGTAGGTTGGACTAGATGACCTTGGAGGTCCCTTCCAACTCTATGAATCTTCCTGGGTAAGGCTGCAATTAGATGCCACACACCCAACAAATCCCTAACTCGACAGTAGCACATAGAAAAGGCTTTAAAAGGCTAAATGTTCGAAGAAGCCTGTTTTTCACCCCAACCTTTCCTACTCTCCTATCAGAAAGACCAGCAAAGTTGAATTCTGGGTATAAGCTGTCACATGCGTGAACACTTCATGAGGTATCTGATGAAGTGTGCATGCACACGTTTACTGGTCTTAAAGGTGCCACTGGATTCAAACTTTGGTCTGTTGCTTCAAACCAACACGGCCACCTGAACCTATCAGAGATTAAGCCTTGCTTTAGGTGACTGAACATACAATGATGCTACCTAGTATTGAGTGAGACCGTGGGTCTGTCTAGTTTAGAACTGTCTACTCAGACTTGCAGCAGCTTTCCAGCAGAGTAAACCCTTTCCCAGCCCTGCCTACCTGATCCTCTAGCCAGAGATGGCCAGGATTGAACCAGGGACCTTCTGCTTGCAAAGCAAGTGTTCTACCACTGAGCCACGGGCGCTTTTATTGCAGCGTAGGGGCTTTTTGTTGTTGTTTAAGCCTTTGAAGTGCTGATTTCTCTCTCAGGCTTTTATGAGTGCATGCTGCTGTTGCAGTTTGAACTGCTTTTGAAGAAGCTGTGTCAAGCACAGGTGCTCATACCATCCACAGGAAAGGCTTATTAATTTTTTTCCCTGGCGTAATGCTGCCACTAGCTGGGTGTTTCATGGTACTGCATGGGCTCTTTATCTGTGAGCCACAAAGGATCCATGTTTTTATTTGCAAAGCTGGTGTGATTTTTTTTTGGGGGGGGGGGAACAGTCACGGGCTGAGCAAAGTATGCAAATAGAAGCTGTGGCGGTGCCGTGCCCTTGATTTGCTGTGTTTTTAAATCTCTTTTTAGCCTCATGCCCCCAAAGCAGCTTACAGAGTAAAATAAAAACAACCAAACCCTAGAAATCATTCAAAAGCATTTAAAGCATCGTAAAACAAGCAAGCTCTGAAAGATTAGATCCCAATCTTAAACCCCAAAGGGAATAGAAAAATGCCTTCACTTATGAGAGTTAAGTAAAGGGGGGGGGGGATTCAGTAGACATTTGGAGGCAAGAGATGGAGAAAAGATGGACCTTCAGAGAAAGCAGATTCTGCGGAGTCAGTCGACCACCAAAACGTCCCTGCTCTTGTATCTACTGGAGGTGGTATCCTGAGCAGTGTTCTCTTTGACAAATCTTAAAGAGCTGGTGGGGTAACTTTAATGGATGTTTCAATAACCTGTTTGGGGCCTGCTTTAAAAGCCTTTGGGACCAGTTAGAAACTTCCAAACACACAAAGTTTCCAGATCATGTGATTTCTGAAGACTGCTTCAAGGTCTTGTAAATTGCAGCACGTGGAACCAGCCTTAAGCCCTGAGGAGGAAGTAACATCTGGCTGGGTGCCTTTATGGACACAGCCGCTGCTTCCCAGAAGGGATTAGAGGTAATTGCATTGGCCGTAATACAACAAAGAGTAGCTGGGGCCTCCCTGTTACCAGCTGTAGTTTTGTCCACTTGCCTGCATTCATGGGACTGCAGTGGTTTGGAAAGATTTATGAACCCTTGGAGCAAGGCTGAAGATTGTGCTTGTCTAGGAAAATGTCATCCTGAAGGTTCCTTTTAAAGATGCCCCTTCTGCTTGGGGGGGGGGGGCAGGCACGAACAAGTGCTTGGGCCTGAAGTGAGCCCTAACCTTAGACTTCAAAGTGCATTTGGTGATTTTCTGAGGGGTTAGGCCTTGATTCCGTTGTTCTGGTGGCTTCCGAGTGTTATTTTGGAAAGGGAGCTTTAGAATGACTCTGAACCACAGTCTACATCCACGCATCCCAAACAGACCTCTTAACGTTCTGAAGACTTCCTGCTTCCAGACCAGCCATAGTTTATTATGGTGCCCAGGGGCAGGAACGCACAGGAACGGAGTTTCGGCTGGCTCCCGAGCTGGCCATGTCCAGCAGGAACTCATTAGCATAATAGGCCACACCCAACAGCAGGAACTCATTAGGATTGGCTACATTAGGGGTGTGTGGCCTAACATGCAAAAAGAGTTCCTGCTACAAAAAAAGCCCTGGGTTTTGACAACAAACAAGGTAAACAGAATAACAAGCAAAAGGTGGGTGTGGCTGGATAACCACACTTCTCGTAACATGTGGGTGCGGCCTAATGTGCTAATGAGCTGTGCTGTCAGGGGCATGCTAATGAGTTCCTGCTGTTGGGTGTGGCCTATTATGCTAATGAGTTCCTGCTGGGCTTTTTCTACAAAAAGAGCCCTGATTGATGCCCGAATCCGATAAACTGACACCAATTTGTTTGTTGTCCAGAAACCAAGACTCTGTGGCTGTTTTCAGATGTTGCTGGCAGCCTCTAGTTTGGTCATGGGAAGCATGAGCTTGGCTTATTTTCATCCTTCTCACTCCATCCTCATTCTCTGAGGAGGTTGGAGCCGCTTCCCTATGAGGAAAGGCTGAAGAGTCTGGGACTTTTCCATTTAGAAAAGTGGCGACTAAAAGGGACATGATAGGGGTTTATAAAATTATGCGTGGGATGGAGAGAGTTGACAAAGAACCTTTTCTCCAAAAACACTGAAACTCGAGGGCATTCAATGAAACTGATGGGCAGTAGGTTCAGGATGGACAAAAGGAAATACTGCTTTACACAGAGAGTGATTCAGATGTGGAATTTGCTGCCAGAGGATGTAGTGATGGCCACAAGAATAAACAGTTTTAAAAGGAGATCAGACAGATTCATGGAGGATAAGTCTATCAATGGCTTCTAGCCATGGTGGCTGAGGAGAACCTCCACATTCAGAGGCACTAATCCTCTAATCCCAGAGCTAGGAGGCAACATCAGGGAAAGGCCTCGGCCTCTCTTCCCCATTGTTGGCCATCCAGAGGAACTGGTTGGCCACTGTGTGAGACAGGATACTGGACTAGATGGACCATTGGTCTGATCCAGAAGGGCTCTTATATTCTGTTCCTCATTCATTCTCGTCACTGACAAACTGAGTATAGAAAAAAATGCATCGATCTTGATTTAGTATCCACGTTTGTAGGCAAAAATGTGATTTAGATGTCCCCACCAGCTGGGCCTTGTCTCAAGCCAGAATATCTGTCTGTACTCCACTGGTGCAGTGATAAAAGGTGGAATATCAGTGAATAAATGAAATGTGAGCCTTGGGGTTTTAGACGTATCAAAACCCATGTATGTTATACTAGTAGGACACTCTTACACATGGCTAAGAAAGAATTGAGGTGCTCTTATTTCAGCGTTACGCTCCTGGAAGTTTTGGTGCTGACGTTCATAGCCTTCATGGTAAAGTCTAGGAATTGGAAGTGTTTTTCAGGGCCTGCGTGGCAGGTAGCAGCTGGGAAGACCAGACGGAACCCCTAGGTTCTCCAGTGTGAGCTTCAAGGGAAAATCAGCTGACATAACTTGTGTGTTAAGAAGAAACAGTCTTGTTAGAGGGAGTAGAGTCTTGTGTGTTTATGGGAGGGTCATTATGTGGAACCTGAGGGCAAAAACACAGTGCTGGGGAGTGCGACCCTACTTCTGGGTTCTGACGTCCATGCACTGATGGGGAATATGATCCATTCTTTCTTATAGCACATCCGTGCTTCTGTCCTTTGAGCTGGAAAACACGTGGGACAGGTTGTCTGCTTCCCTGTCCTGTAACGCCCTTCTTTGCTCTTTTCTTCCAGAGCAAACGGGACCACCTTCTGATGAACGTCAAATGGTACTATCGCCAGTCTGAAGTCCCGGATTCCGTCTATCAACATTTAGTGCAGGATCGACACAATGAGAATGGTATGTATGATCTCATCTATTCAGAGGAACTCTTGCTGTTCACGTGATTGTATTGGTAGATGCAGGGGGAGGGAGTGTATTGTGGGATCATGCCTGTTGGCCCCAACTCCTGACCTCCATGAATTGTTCAGAAAGTCAGAACAGATCCTAGGTACACCAAGGGTTGGATTTGACCTGCTTTTCTGCTGGTAAGGAAGGAAAGAGGAATTCCCCTTTCACCACCCAGAAAACCGTATGCGGGAGATCATAGGACTTGCACAGACAAAAGCCAAGTGGGTCAGGACCTGTACTTAGGAGGCGTGCTGGGTGAGACGGGGCGAAAAAGTCTGCAGTATCTTGTGCTACGGCCACAGGCTTCGTTCTGACCTTGCTGCAATGACAGAGTTGCATCCAGTAATATCTATGAGAGAAGACAACAAACACTGGGGCAGGGTCAGTTGTGTACTTTGAATGGTGCTACCTTAAGGAGAAGGTGTCATTCACTCCTATGCTTCAGATATACACATACTTTTCACAAACTTACGTGAAACATCTCTGCTTCATACAATCTCAATAAGGATGGATGTAAAAAACAAACTAGTACATTAAGTAACATTAAATTCTCCAGTGGTTCCTGGTGTGCTGCATTCAGATCTATTGGGAAGCGCCTCTTCTTGGATGCAAGCAGTCGCCCGAAGTGGATGCAATCGCCAAATGAAGCAACTTGCAGTTCTTGGGCATTTTGGTCAAAAGACAGCAAATAACAGCCTTCAAGGGAAAAGCCTTAGATAACCCCCCCTCAGAGGATCTTTATTTTCATTCTTCTGTTCAGCAAGGAGACCTTCGCTGCTTCTGCTCTCTTTCGTTCGGCTGTGTCCCGGTCCAGTTTGGTGTAGAGGTTAAGTGTGCGGACTCTAATCTGGGAGAACCGGGTTTGATTCCCCACTCCTCCACTTGCAGCTGCTGGATGACCTTGGGCAAGCCATAGTTCTGTCAGAGCTGTTCTCTCAAGGGAAGTTCTCAAAAGAGCTCCCTCAGCCACGCCTACCTCAGGGTGTCTGTTGTGGGGAGGGGGAGGGAAAGGAGTTTGTAAGCTGCTCTGAGATACCTTTGGGTAGTGAAGGGCGGGGTATAAATCCAATCTCTTCTTCTCTTCTTCTTCCCCCCTCCCCCAATGAGAAAACCAATGGGGCCTCTATCAGTTTCCAGATGTTACTGCATTGAGCCTTCTGAGCTCAGGGGTCCTCTCAGGCTCAAAGCCTGCAGCACCCTCCATTCTGATGAGTTTGTGGAGGCCAAGGGTGGGGAGGGCAGGTGTGTTCCCACGCCTTCTCTCCAGTCTTCTGCCTGTTTGTTCCTGACACAAATATTGCACGTTCCTTCAGGAAGCTCAGAGGGGCTTACATGGGATTCCCTGGCAGTCTTCTATACAAGCACCATGCACACCGAGGCCTAATTAGTTTCAGCTGCCTAAGAGCATCACATGCCTACAGGACCACTCTTTGGGTTATGGGGCGGCATTAAGGGGGGGGGAGAGAGTAAACCTGATATCTTCAGGAGTGTGTAGGGAGCTGTATCTTCGGGTTGTCTGCTCTGGTGGGGAAAAACATGAGATCTTCTTCGTGGTATCTGTGCATCACACCTATGGGATCTAGTGCGTCTGCGCTGATCTGATTGGTGTTGTACAAAGCTCACAACGGGATTTTCGCGCCTCCACCCTGAGCCTGTGCGGGAACCCCAACTGTGCATGCCCAGGGGGGTGGAGTGCAGACATCCCGCCAGTTCTCTTCTGACCGCCGCGCTGGTAGCAGCTTTCGTCGGTTGGTGCTTGTTCCTATTCTCCTCTCTTCGGGAATTCTTCGTTTTTCTTCTTCCATTGGATTATTTCTCAGAATATTGGACTTTTTGTCAAGAACTGTTAGAGGAGGCGTCGGGTGAGAACTTTCCATGGTGTTCGGACCGTCAACCCCCTCCCCTCTCCCCTCACGTCTGAGGAACTGTTTATGGATAAGAAGTGGGGGTGTTTTAAGAGGTGTGCCTCATGTTGGGAGTAAGTTAGCTTCGCGAGACAGACACACACTCTGTATAATTTGTTTGGGTGAATCTCACCATCCGGAGGGTTGTGCTTTCTGCACAAAATTTTCAAACCAAACGCGCAAAAATAGAGCAGCAGTGTTGAAAGTTGCCCTTTGGGAATCGGCCCTTGTCCCTCCATCTTCAACTGTGTCGACTGAACTCCCTCAGAAGTCGTTGGTATCGACGGATCCCCTGCCGAAACAATCGACGTAGACGCCAGGATCCACGGATTCCCTCTCGACGCTGAGACCACCTCGACCAGTCAAATCTGCTTCTGATACAGGGCCAGCCCCCTCCAAGAAGCGCTCTTCCAAGTCTGCTTCTTCTGCCTCGACACCGGTGAAGAAACAGAAGAGGAATAAGTCAGAGAAACATACCTCCCACAAGTCGTCCACTGGGAACTCGCATAAATCTCACAAGGTGAGCAGCGTAGTACTCCCTGAGGGCTCTGCGCTGTCAACAATATCGCAGTCACACTCCCTATCGATGCATCAGTCTGTATCTGAGCTGCCAGATGTACAATCGATGCCACCAATTGAAATTCATGACTCTCCAGTCAGGCAGTTGAATCCTTCGGTACAGGACATGAACCTTGGACGACGCTCCCCATCTGAATCGGCTTCCGAAGCTGAAGGTGAGGTAATAGCGGTTTCTGGTGTTGGTCAACGCTCTACGTCTGCTTCCTCCTGGACCAGTGGTCGTTCCGACTCGGACCGTCGATATCAACCTGATGACCGATCCCATTCTCCAGTCTACATGGATGTTTGAGGTCGATGGGATGAATATACGGCCCGTCTTGATCGGCAGCACTCATCCCAATCACCGAGGAGAGATTATTCGCCCAAGCCACCTTCAGGTCAGGGCTCTCCTTCCCGATACCGACATCACTCATCGATGCTTCCCCCGTGGGACCATCGTCATCACATGCCGTACTGGTTCTCTTCCTACCCTCTTTCGGCATCGATGCCTTGGCTAACGCCTATGAGACTGGAAGATTGGGACCACCGTTCAACCCTACCCCGCTGTCCACGTCGTCCACCACCCTCCGCATCCCTCTCCAAACCACCGAAATTTCCTCCTCCAAGGCAAGTCGCGCCTCATCTTCCATCGCCTCCCCCACCACCATCGTCAGTTACTCCGAATGCACTTCATACACTGCCGATTCCTATCCAGAGGTCTCCATCGCCTTCCGAGGCCTCTCCAGTCGCTTCCAATGTCGACCAGTCCTAGGGTGAGATCTCACAGGGAGATACCTCTCCAAAACATTATGTCTCCGAAGACCTCCCAATCTCCCCATCTGAGGACTTGTCTTCTTATGGGGATTTAGTCAAAAGAATGGCTCATTCATTGGGTCTGTCTATTGTCCAACCTCAACCATCGATATTGGACGCGGTTTATGATGTCGTCCAGATGGACACGTCCACAGTGATCACCCTTCCGATGTCGAAAGTACTCCTACACGCGGTGCAGGTGCCCTGGGAGAAGCCCTCATCCGCATCAGTGTCGACATGGAGACTGAATCACATGTATAGAGTGCAAGAGGAAGGAGCTGGTTTTCTACACGTCCATCCAAAACCAAACTCCATTGGTTGTCTCCTCTTCTTCCAGAACTCGACGCACTCATATGACTCCCTCTGACAAGGAAAGCAAGAAGCTTGATGCTTTCGGGAGATGCTTTTACTCAGTGGGTGCCCTGGGAATCAAAACATCCAATTACATTCCATGTATAAGTAGGTACCAGTATACATTATGGCAACAACTTTCTGACATCCTGCCCTTTCTTCCTGAGGACAAAACTCAAGCAGCCCGAACCCTACAAAAGGAAGGCATGGTTCTGGCGAAGCAGCTTCTGAATTCGTCTAAGCACTCACTGGATCCATTCTCCAAAACTATGTCTTCAGCAGTCACCCTTCATAGGCACTCCTGGCTGAGAATGACTTCTTTGCCACCTGATACCAGGGTGTACATAGGAGATCTCCCCTTTGATGGTGAAGGCCTGTTCCACTCCTCTATTGACTCTGCTCTGCAGGAGATGGACAAGAGCATAAAGGCCTCAAGGTCATTGGGTGTGTCTCTGCTCCTTCCAAACTGTACCGCCAGCATTCCTGGTCTTGATACAGTTCCAAATGCCCATTTAACAAACTGTCCCCAAAGGGTACCTGGAGACCACGTCAGTCACCTATGGGCCATCGCCAACAGTACTAATACCCTGCATGGTCCAGATATGGCCCGCAACAGCAACAGTCCAGGGCAAAACCTCAAAAGACTTCCAAACAGGGCCTTTGACTTGCCCCAGATTGCTTCAGGGGCCTCCACCCGCCTTTCCCCATTCCTATCTGGATGGAGAGTCATCACTACAGACCGTTGGGTTTTATCCATCCTAACCCACAGTTATTCAATAGAATTTGTGGACTATCCAATGCTGTCTGTTTTCCTGGCCACTCCTCTCTCTCCCCTCCTTCTCCAGGAGGCCACTTCCCTCTTGGCGAAAGATGCGATAGAACAGGTGCCGAAGGCATACGAGGGAACAGGTTTTTATTCCTGTTACTTTGCCATTCCCAAACGAGACGGGGGCTTGCGCCCAATTTTAGACCTACGGGTCCTCAATGTCTTTGTGGAATACCGTAAATTCAAAATTACATAGTTGCAAGTAATCCTCCCTCTTCTGGCTCGGGGGTCCTGGATGGGGACCATCGTTCTCCAGGATGCGTACTTTCACCTCAATATCCATCTGTCTCATTGAAAGTACCTCCAATTTGCCATAGGGGACCTCCCCTTCCAGTACAAGTGTCTCCCATCCGGCCTCCGCACGGCGCCAAGGGTCTTCACCAAGACGATGGTAGTGGTGGTGGCCTATCTTCGTCTACAGGAAATTACCATCTTTCCCTGTATAGATGATTGGCTCTTAGTGGCAGATTCCTTATCGATCCTGGAGAATCACATTTCCCAGACACTCCACATCCTGTCCTCCCTGGGCCTCCAGGTCAACTTTCGGAAGAACCACCAGCAATCCTCGCAGAGGGTACAGTTCATCGGTGCAGTTCTGGACTCTATGGCATGCAGAGCTTACCTCCCTGCAGACAGAGCGGCTACCCTGTCCTCTTGCGAAGGAAGTGCGAAAAAGTACCTGGTTCACGACTTTCCAAATTCAATGTCTGTTGGGCCACATGTCGGCCACTACAGCCGTACTTCTGTTCGCCAAGCTGCACATGAGACCTCTGCAGATGTGGTTCTTGCAACGCTTCAAGCCAATCCGCATGAGCCACACCGTCCGTCTCCGACCCCCACCAAATGTACAAGACTCCCTATTGTGGTGGTCAGTGGAATCCAACCTGACCCAGGGTTCACCTTTTCAACCACCAAATCCACATCTCACTCTCACCACCGATGCTTCCCTGTGGGGATGAGGAGCCCAGCTCAATCACCTATGCGTCGGGCACCAGTGGGATGCTCTCAATTCAAAAAAGCACATCAACTATCTGAAACTGCTGGCAATAAAGCTGGCGCTGAACTCTTTCCAGCCCATCCTTCGGGGGCATTGCGTAGCTGTTCTGACGGACAATACGACGGTGCTCAGCTATGTCAACCGTCAAGGTGGGATGGTGTCCCGGAGCCTTTGCCATCTGGCAATCACCCTCTGGAAATGGTGTATGGCCAACTAAATCTTCCCTGTGGCCACTCACATTCCAGGGGTCTTACTCACATTCTCAGCAGGGGTCTTACTCAGCATCATGAGTGGGAGCTGGGTTGGACGTACCTTCGCCCACTCTTTCAGAAATGGGGCAGTCTAAAGATAGACTTATTTGCCTCCAGAAAGAACGCAAAGAGTCCTTTCTTTTGTAGTTGGGGGGGGAGTGGACCCTCTCTCTCTAGGAGACGGCTTCCTCTACCCGTGGGGAGAGACACTTCTCTACATGTTTCCTCCTCTACCCCTCCTCTTACGGGTAGTTCAGAAACTAGCCAGTCAGGCCAAACTGTATCCTAGTGGCCCAGGCAACCGTGGTTCACCACTCTTCTCCGACTCGTGAGTGGCAGGTACCACCACTTCCCCAGAGAGCCGGATCTCCTCCTTGCGGAAAACGCATCACTTCTTTACGTCAGAGTAGACAATCTGAAACTGACAGCTTGGTGGATAAGTTGATAACCTTCTCTGATCGTGTCTCAGAGGTTCTTATCAGCGCTAGAAAGGCCTCCACTCTTTCCTATCAGAGGAAGTGGCTTAGATTCTCTTCCTTCTTGCAGACTCCAATTATTTCACCGAGGTCTCTGAGCCTGGATAAGATCCTCGAATTCCTCCTGTCACTCGCTGATCAGGGCCTTTGCCACTTGTCTATTAGGGTCTATATGGCAGCCATTACTGCCTACCACATAGGATTGGACGGTTATTTGATATTCGCTCAACCCATTTTGAAGAAGTTCCTTCGAGGGCTCATGCGGTTGTATCCCCCTGTGAGGGCTCCGACACCATTGTGGGATTTACCCTTGGTGCTTCGCCACCTCACAAGAAAGCCATTCGAACCTGTGGCTTCCTGCGACCTTCAATACGTGGCATGGAAAACTGTTCTTGGTGGCAATCACATCGGCCAGGAGGGTCAGAAAACTGATGGTACTACGCCATCATCCTCCATACCTAGTCTTCCTGCCACATGGGGTACGTCTGCTGCCAGACGTCTCCTTTCTACTAAAGATAGTGTCGGAATTTCATTTGAACTTTGAAATCTTCCTGCTTGACTTCTTCCCTCGCCCTGACGGGGAAGAGCAATGCCTTCTTCACACTCTCGATGTCAAGAGGGTGCTCCTCTTCTACCTGAATCGGACTCAGTCTACTAGGAGAGATAATACTCTGTTCCTCTCATACTCCAACACCTCACTGAGGTTGAGGATTTCAGCTCAGCGCTTGTCAAAGTGGATCGTTGGGACGATTAGGTTATGCTATCTGTTAGCGAAGTGTCCCCTGCCTACACGCTTGACGGCACATTCTACCAGGTCGATGGCAACCTCCACAGCTTTCCTGAAGGGCGCATCGCTGTCCTCTATCTGTCGAGCTGCCACGTGGTCCACGCCAACCATGTTCATTAAACATTACGCACTAGACGTTCATGCACAGCATAAGGTCGATCTGGGTCGTCTGGTCTTGTCCTCTGTGTGGAGCACTGAGCCTGACAGCGCCCACCTCCAGGTGAGCCACTGCTTTTCAATCTCCCATAGGTGTGATGCACAGAGACCACAAAGAAGATAAACAGGTTGCTTACCTGTAACAGTTGATCTTCAAGTGGTCATCTGTGCAGCCACACTGCCTGCCCGTCCTTCCTCACTGCTATCATCCTCAGTCATTTTCCTTACATGGCTTTGGTTGATAGCGGTCAGAAGGAACTGGCGAGATGTCCGCGCTCCACTCCCCTGGGCATGCGCAGTTGGGGGTTCCACGCAGGCTCAGGGTGGAGGCGCGAAAATCTCATTGTGAGCTTTGTACAACACCGATCAGATCAGCACAGGTGCACTAGATCCCGTAGGTGTGACTGCACAGATGACCACTTGAAGATCATCAGTTACAGGTAAGCAACCTGTTTTTTCCCTTCTTGGGACAGTACTTGCAGGAAGCTGATTTTAACCGAAAACTGTTGCTCAACTCTGTGGTCCCAGGACAACCTGAATACCTCAACATGTTGCCGGGTTCGTCCCAAAGCCTCCACTTTAGTGGCATGTGCCTCGAGACATATCTGAGGCTGGTGCTTCGGAGCATCGCAGCTAAACTTTGTCTCTCTGCTCTCGCAGATTCTGGGCGTGAGCTGGTAATTACGGACCCAGTGATCAAGAACCGAGAGCTCTTCATTTCGGACTACGTCGACACCTACCATGCTGCTGCTCTCAGGTAAGCAACAGCAAGTGCTTTGCGGAGGCGTTTTAAAAAGCGCAGGTACTTTACAGGGAGGCCAAGAACCTTATTCTATTCATTTAATTTGTACACTGCCCTCCCCGCAAAGCAGGCTCAGGGCGGCCCACAGTCAGTACATAAATAATTAAGATCCACATAAAATCATCTAAAAACAATTCAAGTTATAACTAAAACAAATTCATAAACTGCTGGTGATGATTAATGAGTTGTTTGAGATGGCTTACTTTAAGAATATACACGGAGGTCTAACAGTCATTCTGCTCATGGTCTTCCTGATACAAGGGCGGCACAGGCTAGATGTCAAAACCAAGGGCCAGGGCTCTCTAGTGGTGGTGGCTCCTTAGTTGAAAACCTGGTGGAAGAGCTCCATCTTGCAGGCCCTGTGGAACTGCAAGAGATCCCGCAGGGCCCTGATCTCCTCCGGGAGCTCATTCCACCAGTATGGAGCCACCACTGAGAAGGCCCTGGCCCTGGTGGTAGCAAGCCTGGCATCCTTGGGGCCCGGGAGGGTCAATTGGTTTTCAGACCCCGACCGTAGTGCTCTCTGGGGTACATATGGGATAGCAGCCCTTTATTTAGAGCATTTAAATGTTCCTTTCCTCATAGTCTTGCCACGGCTTGACTCAATGACACAAGCAAAGGTTTATCTTTGTAAGGAAACTCTTCACTTCTTTCTGTTGGCCTTCCATTTGATGTTTTCTTTCTTTCTTCCTGCTGCCGGCAGCTCAGTCGGCTTCAGTCTGAGTAACTTCGGAAACTGAGTCAAGTTGTGTCTGAATTTCATGTGGTGTCGACACTGATAGCTGCCGGACAATTGCAGTGGGTGGAAGAAATAACCCCCCCCCCCCCAAAAAAAAGTCTAGTGGCCAGAAAGAGGGATTCTCAAACCAGAGCCATTTTATTTATTTATTTATTCATTCAAATTTATAGCCCGCCCTCCCCACAAGCGAGCTCAGGGCGGCTCACAAATAGGGCAACACATGCCAGTAGTTAAAACGGTAAAAACAAGATAAAACCAACATTTACAACAACATAAAGTGCTCTAGATGTTACAAAAAGATCTTCAATCACAAGATGGTATCCTGGGGATGGTAGTCCCAGTTCTGTGGCCCCTTGGGAATATTAGTCTCAATTTAGTGGTATGGGTTCCACGCGATACTATAAAATAACTTGTCACAGGGCCATCATATGCCCCGATGTTACCTAACCCAGTTTCAGGTGGCGCTCAAGTATCTGGTGGCTGGCTAGAGCCAGGGCCACTGTGGAAGCCTTTGACAGAACCAGGCCGATCTCCTCCCTTTCCTGTCAATAGTAGACACTGTTTTGGCCTCCTGACAAACATTCCTTCCTATTTGCCGCACCCAGTAAGCGTTCAAAAAGCGACTCTCAGACTTTATTATGAGCTTGACCCTGCATCGAGAAATGTTCTGTTTCAGAATTTTTCTGGAACGTGTCCTGCTGCTCTATTTATCTCTGGAAAAAATCCCCGTTTCACAAAAACGAGTCATTTCATAAAATTAGCACAGAAATGAATGGATCGATACCAGACCTACTAAGCCATTTCAAACTCAGAATTAACTTTTTTTTGTGGGGGGGGGGCTGCGTATCTTTAGGAAGTGCATATATTATGTTACTCGGGAGAACGTTTACTCTTTCATGTGCACATACCCTCACAACATTCAAAACGCATTGTGCACTTTAGTTGGAGGGGTTTTCCTGTGAAAATATATCATACTTCAACCTTTTCTGGCCGTGGGAAAAGATTTTGAGATATTTATGCAGTACATAGAATCAGCACAGGGTGCCATATATTGTTCTGTCATATAAACATACTGTATTGTACCCCAGTGCGTTTATGGCACCTGACCTAATTCTTCTGCATTCAGCAAGCGTCTCTGCTGCCTGTAGTGAATATGTGTGAATATCAAGTTCTCTCGGTGCAGATGGGTGCAGGAAAATGAAATAGAGTTGGGAAGGGACTGTGGGTTAGGCTTGGCTTGAACGACTGACTCCCATTCGCCACATTTCCATCTTTAGGGTACAAAGGGAAGTAGGGATCAGCTAATAGCTGGGGAAGGGAGGTGTAAGGAGCTTTGCCAAGCACCTGGGTTAGAGTAAGGCTTGCAAGCTTGGCCAACCTCTCCCTACATTCACGTGTTTATGTAATTCATAATTTTAAAATGTTTACATCCTGCCTTTTGATATATCGAATCGCCAAGTGGCTAACAGTTGCATGAGAGAGGAAAAAACCTATGGGACAAATACTGCCATCATAAATATAAGAATATAAAAAATGTAAAAGTGGGGCACCCCTTAAGGACAATGTAGTAAGAATCACTCTGAACCATTTTCATCTTTCGGCTAGAGCTCACTAAGTCCTTCTGGTTCTCTGCAGAGCTTGGAAAGAGAGAGGGAAGGAGTGAGGCCGGCCTCCCTGAGGTCAGGCCACTTGCATCCTGGAGACTGGTACTGGGAAAGGCGTCATCTCAGGCAGCCCCAGAGGGTGATGTTAGGGGAGGGGATGTAGTTCAGTGGAAGAGCCTCTTCTTGGCATGCTGAAGGTCCCAGGTTCAATCCCCGGCATCTCCAGTTTTAAAAAAGGGACCAGGCAGTAGCTGATGTGAAAGATCTCCGCCTGAGACCCTGTAGAGCCACTGCCAGTCTGAGTTGATAGTAGAATCATTGAATCATTGAATCATAGAGTTGGAAGGGACTTCCAGGGTCATCTAGTCCAACTCACTACACAAGGCAGGAAATTCATAAATACCTCCCTCTCCACACCGGCAGTGACCACTGTTCCATGCCCAGAAGATGACAAAAAAACCTCCAGGATTGCCTCCTGACCGCAAAGTGGCAATCAGCATTTCCCTGGGCATGTAAAAAAGGGCCACAAGAACTAATCACTGAGGCAACACTTCCTGCCCTCCCTTCTCACAATCTGCCTGAGTTCACAGAATCTGCATTGCTGTCAGATGGCCATCTAGCCTCTGTTTGAAAACCTCCAAAGAAGGAGAGCTCACCACTTCCCGAGGAAGCCTGTTCCACTGAGGAACGTTCCACTGAGGAACCGCTCTGTCAAGATGTTCTTCCTAATGTTTAGCCGAAAACTCTTCTGATTTAATTTCAACCCGCTGGTTCTGGTCCGACCTTCTGGGGCAACAGAAAATAACTCCACACCCTCCTCTGTATGGAAGCCCTTCAAGTACTTGAAGATGGTTATCATATCACCTCTCAATCGTCTCCTGTCCAGGCTAAACCTATTTGGCTCCTTCAACCTTTCCTCATAGGACTTGGTCTCCAGACCTTGATGGACCAAGGGTCTGATTCAGTATAAGGCCGCTTCATGTATGTTCATGTAAACGACCACAAGGTTGTGGTCGATGCTGAAGTGTGCTCTCTGCTTAATCAGCAATATTCTTATTGGTGGTTCAGAAATACACGGGGGAATACCTGCATTGTTGGGTTCCCGCAGAGCCAGCGTGGAGAGAATGTGGGAGGGAAGGGATCCCAAAGCAGGGGTGATTTGACTCTGGACAGAGCGGGGCCCACCGAGTTTGTGACCCAATGCCAAAGTTAGCAGAGTTTTTATACTTGTTTGCCAAGGACATGGTGAAAGTCGACTCTGTGTTGGTGTGCAGCCAGCCTGTAATTCTGCAATAGATTTTGGAGAACTATGTTAGCATAAGGCACGGATTTGGCCTTCATAGCAATTGCTGGCTTGTCTCTAGTCTGTTAGGAGCTGCGGTGGCTCAAGTGGTTAAGATGCTGAACTGCAGGCTGTGGAAGGTCGGTAGTTCAGCAGTTCGAGACCTGGGTGCCACATGACGGAGTGAGCTCCCGTCTCTAGTTCCAGCTCCTGCCACCCTAGCAGTTTGAAAGCAAGAAACTGCAAGTAGATAAATAGGTACCACTTCAGGGGAAAGGTAACAGCGTTCCGTGCGCCTTGGTGTTTGGTCATGCCGGCCACATGACCACGGAAACGTCTTTGGACAGCGCTGGCTCTTCGGCTTCGAAACGGAGATGAGCACCGCAACCCTAGAGTCAGACTTGACTGGCTTTCGAGCAAGGGAACCTTTACCTTTACCTCTAGTCCGTTAGCTCTTTTGTCTTTTCACACAGCTATGCTTCCAAACTTGGAAAAAAATATTTTTTTCTGCCCCCCCCCCCCCCCCCCCAGTTAGGAGAGTTCAGCTGCACATACCCCTTTAACATCCCATCTGGCCTTCATAAACCTACCAGTGTTCTTTTGTAGGCTTTCCGAACCATCTTTGGTATGTAGGCAGGCATTCCATTGGCTGGCAGTTCTCCATGAAAAGAATTCACTGTATAAAATTGTGGATCTGCACGGGCTGCTGATCTGAGCCAGGTGGCTCCGTTTGAAAGTTCCCAATTTGCCTCTGCTCCCGAGGACTAGAAACTCCCATCTTATAAACGAACAGTAGCCCTCTCGAGCTGCCAAGGAGCCTACTAGCTGCTCTGAGTCTTGCTCTTCCTTGCTTTTCACGATCACCCCTCCTGTCGCCCTACCTGGAGCGAGCGATGATCGATCTCCTTCCTTTGTTAGTTTAAAAAGCAGAGAGCCGACCATTAGTCTTTGGGAGAGGAGCCGCTGCTGGCTGTGCATTTAAATGAAAAAGCTGTCAGCGTCTTGCATCTCATTTCCAGGCGTTTGCAGAAGGGAGCACATGGATATTGTCAAAACGTGAACTGAATGGTCTCCCCTGCCTATAACGCTCAGATGGCGCTCGAAGCAAAACCATCTGGAGATGCAGTCTCCCTCCAAAGCCCCTTGGCTGACACCGCTTCCCGTGACTCAGCCTGCAGCTGCAGCCTCTGCTGAGGCGGAAGGAAAGGGGGGCCTTTATTGATTCGACTCGCGACCGGTGTTCTAGTTTTAAAAACAAAACCCCGGGAAACCAGTCTGCTAGAACCATCTCTTGGATACGTCCAAAGTGCTTTTCTCGTCTCTGGAAAGG